ACTATCCTCAAAGCTAATATCTCCATAGTTCATTTAAAATACCTTTTCCAAGAGGTCAGCTTCAGTATCAGTAAAAAAGCAAAACAACCCAATGCAATATTACAGCGGTATGGTAGAATGAACTGGCGAAACCGCTTGGAGGGTTCACCACTGATGAGCCAGGCCTTCCCATTAATTTAAAATTGTAGTAAGATCAGTAGAGAAAATTGTTATATTCCATACGCGTTATTTCAATTTCTCCTAACAATTTGCTACAAGTGGCTATGGAGTATCACGGAACCTGGAAGATTTCACTCCAGATAAAAAACACGGAGTTGAACCCAAGCTGTAATGTCGACCAGACGACAATTTTATTGTCCAAAGTATCGTTTCCTAATTTTTTATTGTGCAGGAAGGTATCGTATGGGCTTATACTTACTCGTGAACTCAATCTGATTGGTTGTTTTTTCAACCAATAGAAATCTACAACGTAACACGACCAAAAACAAAACACATGTAGTCTCTATATTAGAATATTTAGGGAATATTCCAAATCTGATAATGCATCCACTTTTCTGAGTATGCAAAATTTCAAGCAGATAAGATCGAGCAACTGTTTTAAAACATTTTAAAGGGAGATGTTCCTCTTATTACAGATAGACTAATATGATGAGGTACAAATTTGATTATAGATTTGAATCTTAAAGGTAACAAGACAAAATCATTCAAATTATTGAAATGTTTGTGATATTACGGTAACAGCGTTGTTACCATCATCAGACAAAGTGATAAAAGATTTAGATGGACCAATATGCAAAGTTATATCGATGCCTCTCCATATACAGTTAAACCTGTCTATAGCGCCCCCTCTTGGGACTCACCAAAATAGGGTGCTAGAGAGAGGGGGTGCTATAGACAGGTCACTTTTAATGTAAATCGCATCGTACTACGTATTTAAAATCGGGCGCTATAGAGAGGGAGGCGCTATTTAGAGGGGGCGCTATAGACAGGTTTAACTGTATAATGCTCCCCATTGTTACAAAACTTTTTGAATCAATAGGAAACCCGAACTAAAATATACCTATTATTGACGCATATGCTTTTTTTAAATAATTCCTTCTGCTCTTTGTGCAATGATAAATTAACGGGGGGCCTGGCTCATCAGTGGTGAACCCTCCCAGCGGTTTCGGTAGATTATTTTCCAAATTTCATCAATGGAACCAGTGAAAGGGTTCATCAATGATGAGCAGAGTCTTCTTATCTATTTTTTCTATCATCATATTGAGGTTTTCAGACGTCATTTTGAAGATTGAAAAACAAAACAACTTCACATTAGTGTAAAATTTGATTGAAATATGGCACTCTGATAACCGTTTCATGATTTTTCAGGATGTCTAAAAGACCAGTTTATTTGGTCGTTGAGGTACAGCTTGCACCACGCTGATGAGGGCCAAAAGCCCGGAACGCGTATTAAGTTAGTTTTACTTGATTAATAAAGAATAGGGATTAGGCCATATCTGTAATAATTATAAAATAAACGATTAGTGGATATTTATTCCGACAGATGGCGCAAGCCATCAGCAACTTCTAGTTGCACGATTGGGAGATGCATTTTTTCTTAACTTTGATACACCAATACCTCGCTTTGCGTCGTTTCGTTTTGCGTTTTTTTCGAAGTTGCATAGCTGCTTAATTTTTACTAATTTTCACTGTGCGTCGTTAGATTTTCGAAGTTGCGTTGTTTTAGATTCGAGTCTTTAATTTTTTTCCTAAAATATGGCAACACCTTTGTTTTTGATTGCGCCTTCACATATTTTCACTTTGCGTCGTTTCAATTTGCGTCGTGTTTTTTGGAACGTAACCCCGACGCAAAGCGAGGTATGGGTATACTTAATGTGTTGCTTCTAATTTGCATATATACCTGAGTACAATGACCTTCCTGTCGTGACACCCTAAGTGTCGCCGTGTCAACTAGCTGACGCCACCAAGGTCAAGCGCAGGAAGCCACACTGACTTATCTTCCGTTCCTTGCTACATCACTGATTGCTTCAACGGTCAACACATTCTAGCTGATGTACGCTGACGACATGTTTTCAATTTTTCAAAATCTAACACACCACACTCCATATTTTTAAAATAGCTAATAATTCTAGGATCAGTTTCTACAGGTAAACTCCGTATAATTGGTATAATTGTATAACGAATCTAAAGTTTTACGAAGGAACCTCTTTTATTATACTTATGCAAGCTTTCGAACCTTTCGGTTCTTCCACAGGCGTGGCTAGTATGACTATACTAACAGGGTATAAGCGCGCTTGAGCCATTATATACAACATATAAATTTACATGCGGAGTGATATTTCAAATGTAATAAAAATAGAAATAGGAATTATGACTATAAAATAAAACTATGTAAATGAACTTAAAGATTTTTAATTCTTGCCAGGATTGCCCAGCCTCCTATGTGGGGGAGACTGGCAGAACCGCGTATATCAGAATCACCGAACACAAACGAAACATAAACAATAGAGACCCGAAATCACTTATATACCAACATATTTCAAACACTGGCCATAACTTTAACTTAGATCATCCTAAAATCCTTTATCAGCACATAAACAATAAGCAGCACAGATTGGTACTGGAATCCATCATATCAACACAAACAAACAGCATCAATAGGAAAATAGATCTACCGGAAATATATCATATAATATCTCAATAATTATATACTCGGGTGTGTGGTCGGGTTGGAGTGGACCCCCGCTTGGTTTTTCTGTGTTGAGATGTTTTAAATTATACTGGTTTTTTAAACTTTACGAAATTTTAAAGTGTCACACTGCTTACATACAGTGAATATCATTATTTTACTTAACTTTTAACGTATTTAAAAGTTTTTGCCATAATTTTATCTAAATTTTAAAAATCTTTATAAGTTCATTTACATAGTTTTATTTTATAGTCATAATTCCTATTTCTATTTTTATTACATTTGAAATATCACTCCGCATGTAAATTTATATGTTGTATATAATGGCTCAAGCGCGCTTATACCCTGTTAGTATAGTCATACTAGCCACGCCTGTTGAAGAACCGAAAGGTTCGAAAGCTTGCATAAGTATAATAAAAGAGGCTCCTTCGTAAAACTTTAGATTCGTTATACAATTCTAGGATCGTTTATCTTCTTCTTCTTCTTTCTTATTTACAATCATCATGACTGGGTGAAGTAGAATGCCTTCGTCATTAAGACTGGGAGCACTACTCAGTAGCAGGCCACTGACTTAGCTCAAATTTGAAATGGCCGCCTCTGACATGAGGGACAGACGTCATGTACAGCCTCTCCTAACATGGAGTACATCTTGTATCCCTGGATTAGGAGCCCTTACAGGGTACTATTAGCCAGACCAGCTGATCACAGGTTTCTTAGCTAACTTGTTACTGCTCCCTCTCCTTCTTTTTCATCCGGACTTAGGACTGGCAAAGGCGGAATTGGATACTTTTATAAACTATTGGAAGCTAAAAATGCTACGCGAGCGCGGACTCTTTAAAACGAACCTCTCTGTAGCAGAGTCAAGGTCATAATCATTAGTCAACTAATATCTTTGTGACTTCGCTACTGGTTCTACAGTTTGGAAGAAAGGTTGAGAATATTGTAAGAAAATGTAAAACAAAATAACACAAGAAGACAGTAGTTGTTATATCTCCACCAAGACTGTTGTATATAACTGTGGTTACCTATTTACATATTGTCTACCTTTGGATGCATCTTATGAATAAGACTATCCTCATGGTATCATCCTTCCGCAGAAGTCATGTTGATCTTATCTGTTTGTTTCCAATTTTGTTTCATATTTATGGAGAAAGGAATGATTCGCATTGATATATGCTTCATCACTTGGGTTATTCTTATGGCTTAGATTATTTTAATCCTATTATCCCCATTCATACACAAATAAGAGTCATGTTTATCTTCTCTGTGTCGTTCCACTTTTGTTTATTATGGTATTCATAGAGATATGTAAATAAAATGAACGCCTTATTATATTTCACTTAATAACACACTTGAAGTCATTGAAGTCTCATAATAGTAAAAATGTTTAATTTCATAAATTTATCGTCCTTAGCACAAATTTTGCATATTAATTTCTGTATATACGAAATTTACGTTTTCACTTTTCTCTTTCATTTATTTTTATAAATACACCTATCCCCCGATTTACACGGTAGATACGTTCCCGAGAAAAACGTGTAAATCGAGGGATAGGTGTATATTAAACTGTCAAATCTGAATAGGTGTTCGCCCCCTCATGAATCAGAGAGCCTCCCAATATTCTTTTTAACATAGGTAGTATAGAGTAGAATATCGCATTTTAGTATAGTGCGATAAAAACAAACAAAAAAAAAACTTATTTGGAAAACCGTGTAAAAGCGAAAACGTGTAAAACAAGTACCGTGTAAATCGGGGGATAGGTGTACTATATTTTTTTGGTATGCAAAAACATCTTATCTTATTAATACTCATCTCGTACTTCTTTCTGTTTAGTCATTGTAAAGGCTGTAGAAGGACGTCCGAAAGCTTGCAAATAAAGTTCGTATGAGACTCTTCAATCGCCGTTTTATTTTACACTTTGTTTAATCTTGTGGATGAGATTGTTCTAATCCTATTCTCCATTCGCAGGATCCATGTTGATCTTCTCTGCTTGGGTGAAAACATCAGGCTTTCGGGGATGCGTCTCTTAAAAAAATTAATTCAAATTTCTAACCTTTTTCGGGCATAAAATCCCTTCTACATTGGAGAAACAAGATATAATAATATTCTCTGATACAATATAATGTCGCTTATGATTGTAAAACGATGTTTGACAAGTATTTACCGCAAATGTTTCTTTTGAACGAAAAATCTTAATTTAAGGAGAAATAACGACTATTTCTATCCTTAGGGATGAAGTATGAAAGGATGAATTGTGAAATAAATGCATATATAATAAATAATATAATAAAAAACACAGAAAAATAAAAGTGTCCAGGGATGGGAATCGAACCCACAGTATTCCGGGCAGATGTCATGTCCACTAGACTACCCTGGACATATTTTTCCGCTCGTTAATATTATATAATCTCTGTTTCGTTACAATTTTATTTCCTTTCTGTTATCAAGTCGAGAATCGACAATTCGAATAATTGGGTATTGGACAGAGTTCTTGGTGTCGACTTCTGTGTGTGATGACTGGCACAGTGGAATGTGACATTTAGACTTTTGTCTTTACTTCAAGATAGGGAATCAAAATACAAGGTGGAGTGAATCTCTTTGAGAGGAGATTTCAGAATTGTGTTATTTACCTTTAACGGCACGCTGTCACGAAATCTCAGGGCACGTGTTGCTGAACAAGCTACCTGAATATGCCTCAGTCCTTTCTGAATACATTGCCAACATTTTCCTTCATACCGAGTTGAATCCTAATGATGAGGAAACAGAACATCTTGCCTGGAACTGGTTACCAGACATTCGATGAATTAAGCTTAATGAAATAAAGCTTCGTCAGGAATGTTTTCTCCATTTCCTTCATTGGAATTCCGTGTGGTAGGATTGGACAAGGCTCAACCCGTATATTTCCACACTGTGGAGAGGAAATTCTGGCCAGAACGTAAACAATGCGGTTTTTTGATAGGTTAGCGGTTTGTTGGCAAACTTACGCAATTCAACTTCAATTCAATTGGCCTCAGACAGGTGGGCTGTGTGGGTTAACGTACCTTACCTGAATTAAATTTTTAGGTTAAGTGGCGTTCTCTCTTCTTAATTCCTTTTTGGCACGTGTCTCTATCCCAAGACTGAGGATTGCCAAACGGGACAGAATCATCAATAGAAAATAATATAGGTAAAACATATAAAATAAAAGGATTTAAAAGCGCGAATGTTTCTTTTATACATAAAACAAACTTCTACTGTCCTTACTGCGATGAAAAAATATATTGGGAGGGCTTGGCTCATCAGTGGTGAACCCTCCCAGCGGTTTCACCAATTTAATCCACCAGACCGCTTCTCAGAGCTCTAATACTGTATTGGATCATTCTGATTTTATATGCTACACTGAAGGATGGAATCTTAGAAATGGTTTTCAAGTAAACTATGGACATAAGGTTATAGGACAGTAGCATTACATTTAAATATTTGCTTCGAGCAATGCTCTTCAGCAAACTATAAAGACAAGGCCAGTTAGGCATAAATTAACACAAAGCAATAACGCGCCATCTATACATATAAAATAAAAGGATTTAAAAGCGCGAATGTTTCTTTTATACATAAAACAAACTTCTACTGTCCTTACTGCGATGAAAAATATATTAGGAGGGCTTGGCCCCCAGCGGTTTCGCCAATTTCAATGTAATGCTACTGTCCTATAAGCTTATGTCCATAGTTTACTTGAAAACCATTGCTTCAGTGTAGCATATAAAAGCAGAATGATCCAATACAGTGTTAGAACTCTAAAGAGGCGGTCTGGTAGATTAAATTGGCGAAACCGCTGGGAGGGTTCACCACTGATGAGCCAAGCCCTCCCAATATATTTTTTTCATCGCATTAAGGAGAGTAGAAATTTGATTCATGTGTGAAAGAGACATTCGCGTCTTAATGTTTTTATTTGCTATTGATAGATACATTTTATGATGCATTAGCGCGCCATCATCAGAAACCGCTGGGAGGGTTCACTACTGATGAGCCAATCCCTCCCATTAATTTTTACATTGCAGTAAGGGCAGTAGAAATTGTTAGGGATGTTTCATTGGTGTTATAAGGATTGTTAGGGATGTTTTACTGATGCTACAAGGATTGTTAGGGATGTTTCATTGGTGTTATAAGGATTGTTAGGGATGTTTTACTGATGCTATAAGGATTGTTAGGGATGTTTCATTGGTGTTATAAGGATTGTTAGGGATGTTTCATTGGTGTTATAAGGATTGTTAGGGATGTTTCATTGGTGTTATAAGGATTGTTAGGGATGTTTCATTGGTGTTATAAGAATTGTTAGAGATGTTTTACTGATTCTACAATGATTTTTAGGGATGTTTCATTGGTGTTATAAGGTTTTTAAAAGAATCATACTAGTTTTTAATAGTTTTGAATTTTTATAGATACATTTATCCGTAAATATATTTATATCTCTATAATTCTAGAGTGTCATATGTCTGAATACTTTTATTAAAAGGTTGACTAAACCTTCCCAAGTATTGAGGGAGAGATAAGGTTTGAAATCTTATCGGATTTTTAATAACGAAGCGTAATTCAATTCTTATTATGAATTTGTGAGTATATTCAAGCTAAAGAACTTGCGGTCCGCCAGGATGTGATGGAGTGGACTGCCCCAAATTCCCCTCGCTCTCCCCACTGGTCTTATCTCACCGCCGACCTTCAACTGTCTCTCTGTGCGATAAGTTCTCGGCCGTTTTTGCCGAAGTCGAGTTCGATCAATTAGAAGTGACAGAGACAGGTTGGTTGGTCCTCTGAGAATGGGTGGAGTTTCAGCGATGTCGACTGAATACTGATACTCTTTGGGGCAAATTTGGATGCTTCGTTGGTATTATAGGGATTGCTAGGGATATTTCTTTGGTGTTGCAAGGATTACTAAATATTGTTAGGGATGTTTTTCTGATTCTACAAGGATTGGTAGGGATGTTTCATAGATGTTATTAAGAATATTAGGGATGTTTCATTGATTCTACACGGATTGTTAGGGATATTTCATTGGTGTTACAAGGATTGTTAGGGATATTTCAATGGTGTTACAAGGATTGTTAGGGATATTTCATTGGTGTTACAAGGATTGCTAGGGATGTTTTACTAATTCTACAAGGATTATTAGGGATGTTTCATTGGTGATACAAGGATTGTTAGGGATGTTTCATTGGTGTTACAAGGATTTTTAGCGATGTTTCATTGGTGTTACAAGGATTGCTAGGGATATTTTACTAATTCTACAAGGATTGTTAGGGATGTTTCATTGGTGTTACAAGGATTTTTAGGGATGTTTCTTTGGAGTTACAAGGATTGTTGGGGATGTTTATTTGGTGTTACAAGGATTGTGTTAGAGATGTTTCATTGATGTTACAAGGATTGTTAGGGATGTTTCATTGGTGATACAAGGATTGTTAGGGATCTTTCTTTGGTGTTAAAATGATTTTTAGGGATGTTTCTTTGGTGTTACAAGGATTTTTAGGGATGTTTCTTTGGAGTTACAAGGATTGATAGGGATGTTTCATTGATGTTACAAGGATTGTTAGGGATGTTTCATTGGTGATACAAGGATTGTTAGGGATCTTTCTTTGGTGTTAAAAGGATTTTTAGGGATGTTTCTTTGGTGTTACAAGGATTTTTAGGGATGTTTCTTTGGAGTTACAAGGATTGTTAGGGATGTTTCATTGGTGTTACAAGGATTGGTAGGGATGTTTCATTGATGTTACAAGGATTGTTAGGGATGTTTCTTTGGTGTTACAAGGATTGTTAGGGATGTTTCTTTGAAGTTACAAGGATTGTTAGGGATGTTTGATTGGTGTTACAAGGATTGGTAGGGATGTTTCATTGATGTTACAAGGATTGGTAGGGATGTTTCATTGATGTTACAAGGATTGTTAGGGATGTTTCTTTGGTGTTACAAGGATTGTGTTAGGATGTTTCATTGATGTCACAAGGATATATGGGGTTTTCAAAGTACTGGGGTGATAATGTATTATTTTGATGCATTTTTAAAGGTAAGGGTTTGCACACAGGATCCAATAAATTCTCTATTTTTATATCAAGATATAGTTATTGATATTGCTCTGTTTTAAAGAGTTCCTTGGGGGTCGGTGGAAGGCTGGTTAAACCGTTTGGTTTACGACCATTACGACCCGGGTTCGATCCCCGCATTGGACACCTTTTTCTGTTTAAAAAAAAATGCTCCAATGGCCCCCCGATTCTTGCAAAAGTCCAACCCCACCAGCGAGTGCAAGTAACCAAACGGGGCTCTGGCACATTTGTAAGTGCAAAGTCGAACTGCTTTCACATGTGTAGACATGTGGTGCGCTTACAGTAAAAAGCAGTCGCTAACTACCCACCATGATTATCATGGCCTGTACCACGTGTACTAGGGATAAGCAAAAAAAAAGTTCCTTAGGTATAAAGAGACAATATTCTCTCTCGTCAAAATTGACAGGATAACTGTGAGCATCATCTACATACTAAACTCTAACTAGAGGACTCGGGTCAGTGATAAAGCCACAACACCAGCTTTGAAAATTCCAGAACGTCCACCTGAAGATGATGATCTCTGCTTACTGGCCATTGCCAGTCCAGGGCTGGTTTTATTCCATGAGATTTTCACAAGGTATTCCTGGTATCTTCAGAATTTGTCAAAGTGATGTTTAGCTGGTAAAGATTTATGGAGATTTTGCCTAGAGGATAATTTTTGTGCGATCTATAAAAAGGAAGAATACTTCTACCGTCAAAATAGACGCTGAAACTAAACACCATCTATTGACAGTTTTCACAAACTAGAAAGCTCGGTTCGGTGACAAAGCCACAACACCAGCTTTGGAAATTCCAGAACGTTCACCTGAAGATGATGATTTCTGCTTACTGGCCATCGTAAGTCCAGGGCTGGCTTTTATTCCATGAGATTTTCACAAGGTATTCCTGGTATCTTCAGAATTTGTCAAAGTGATGTTTAGCTGGTAAAGATTTATGGCGATTTTGCCGGGAGGATAATTTTTGTGCTATCTATAAAAAGGAAGAATACTTCTCCCGTCAAAATAGACATTGAAACTAAACTCCATCTATTGACCATTTTCACAAGCTAGAAAGCTAGGGTCGGTGACAAAGCCACAACACCAGCTTTGGAAATTCCAGAACGTTCACCTGAAGATGATGATTTCTGCTTACTGGCCATCGTAAGTCCAGGGCTGGCTTTTATTCCATGAGATTTTCACAAGGTATTCCTGGTATCTTCAGAATTTGTCAAAGTGATGTTTAGCTGGTAAATATTTATGGCGATTTTACCGGGAGGATAATTTTTGTGCGATCTATAAAAAGGAAGGATACTTCTCCCGTCAAAATAGG